AATGACGATAACGAAATTTTCAGCATCTGTTGGGATGCAGTTTGGGGTGTCGGCCATCGGATATATACGGGATATTTCTATGTCCCCCAGCAGAGGGCGGTTACCGGCAAGGGGTCTATTTTAGGGCATTCCAAACGCTGGCTACATGGCGCAAGCCGGACTCGGCCGTATATATAAAGTACCGTACAGCGACGTCAACGTTGAGCGCGACGTGCAAGCCACGGGCGCGAGCACGTGCACCTGCGGTGTCGGCTTTCCGTGCTCCGAGATACTCGTGCCAAGAAAGCACCTTATTGAGCTACAACACCCCCCTCCTCGCGCTTGCGAAACAAATTTCATAACGATTTTCGTGTAATAAAGAAGAGCTTTAGTAGGTCGTTCCGATGACTCCGAGAATGATACTCCACCGCCGCCTTTACGCATGTATCGTATCGTTATCGGGTATCGTTACCGGGGGCATCGGAACCATCTACTAAATCTCTCTCATTATGTTGCTTGCGGGAAGCGCGGGAAGTTAACCATGGAGCCCCGATGGCCGTCTGCGGAGTGTCCGCTGTAGAAGATAAATTTTGTCCGTCCAGTAAGCAGTGCTCCTGGACAGGATCACTGCGCTTTCTGCAAGCAACACAATGAGAGAGATTTAGTAGATGGTTCCGATGCTCCCGGTAACGATACCCCCGTAACGATACCCATCTGGATGAGCATCGTACGGGCATGTGTCCGTTTAATTACTACTGCGTGATGCACGTTAAAGACCCCAGGGTAGTCTGGGGTCTTTAACGTGCATCACGCAGTAGTAATTAAACGGGCGCATGGCCCTACGATGCTGATCCAGATCGAAACGGGCGGGGGTGGTGATTGAACCCAGGACCCCTGGGTCCTGCAGTGCGACAGATAACGAGGTGAAAAACTATTGTGAAAGTTGTGAACAAGGACAAAAAAAAAAAAAAAAAAAAATGCGCACATATACAAGGTTTGGAGCCAGTCCTCGTCGTTATGTGTACCTTCGTCGTTGTCCTGTTCGCATTTCGTAAATAGTTTTCAGTATGAGTTACGAATCGATTGCCGCAATCAAGAGTCGTGAGAAAACAAGGTGTTTGCGACGTGTCTGTCTGCGAACTGTGTCTGTTCCTTGTTCGTTACCGGCCCTTAGCAACGGCTTTCACTCTCCGATGGGGAATACATATCCGACGAACATGCTGTGAACGGTAAGTTCTCCAAAGAATGGCAAGAAAAAAAGGGGGAAAAAAAAAAAGAGTGATACATCTTGCAAACGCTGCCACGGCGATGTAAACGCTAATCTTAATTTCGATCACTCGTTGCAGAGCACGGAGGCTGCTGTCGTAAAACCGAACGCACTCCAGCCACAGGAGACGAGGAAAGTTGAACAAACTCTGCCGGCGTCTAATTTGCGAATCGTCGTGGAAAGCCGGGAATTTCACCATCCCCGACGACGCAGCCGGAGTCAAGGAAATATATATATATATATATATATATATATATATATATATATATATATATATATATATATATATATTTAACAAATCTAAAAAAAAAAAAGCTTTCGAAAAGGAAGGCAATGACCTCACATACGAAAAGAATATATGAAGAAAAATGGAAACATCTGCAATACCTACAGCGAACATTGCACAACAAATATACGGAAGACCTCGCCCCAAGATCAATCAACAAGCTGAAAAAAAAAAAAAAAAAATCTGTGGCTAGATTTTTTTTTGTCATAAATGCAGCAACCGATGACGTTCTAATAATGGATTGCAGTATGTTTGCCTCATGATGAAACACTAGCACCTCCATAAACCAAGCAGCTTCCCCACGTATACAGCTGAAGACATGATACACAAAATACTCCCAGGGAGGCACTACAACTTGTATGGAGCGACTGCGTTCGGTAGTATTTTTTATATATATATTTCTAAAACGAAAATTTCTATTAGAGTCGGTTGAATCCTCGGTGAAAGAATTCAGTCCCGACGTTCGTGGTCATCTTTTGAGTTGTTTGAACTTGGAGCGCTGTTTGTCCGACAAGGAGTTATACGCCGGTGGTCAAGGAGAAAATATCTCGTAGTAAGAAGGTCAAACCTACCAGGGGATAAACCAGCAGCTCCAACGGCGCAAGACCACCTCCAACGGATGCTGAAGTAGCGGTAGCAGCAGTGGACAGCTTCCAACAGACAACACCACGATACACGGGCTGTCCAAATCTCCAAACCAATCTTCAAACGGCACAAAAAAAAAAAAAAAAAAAAAAATCTAAAACGTTTTAGGTGCTTGCAAAGAAGATCTCAGAGAACACGACAACAACAACCGTACCACGGCAAGCGACAGCACCAGTGTCCCGCAGATTCATGACGGTCCTGGAATACGTTCAAGACATCATCCACGTCCTGGTACTACACACCGAGGACATCTTCGAAGACATTCGGCGGATCCACTTCAAGAAGAAGCCCAAGATGCACAACTACCAGCCTGGTCGAGTCCCACCGGCAGCGGGAACTGGTGTTTCAGTTTGCCGGGAGAGTCCTCGCAGGTCTTCGTCCGTGGCAGGGCGGATCCAACCGATTTGAGCTAGTTGTGCCGTCGTCGTCGCTCTGCTCTTTGTAGTTGCTGCCTGCCGGCACTGCCTCGCCAGCCAGCCGCTTACACTAGCACCGCTACTCCGCGTGACGTACTGGAACCTATCTATCCCTCGCTCTCACTCGCGCTTGCCGCCTGCCTCGAGAGTCAAGGCGAAATGGAACCACGTGACGGACGGAGGGTTGGGGGAGAAACTCGCTTTTGCTGTTGTGCTTCTTTTTGCTCGTCGCCGGCGTGCTTGCGTTTTTAGTCGTCGCTCCCTTTCCAGACTGCTTCTTTCCTTCCTCTTTTTTTTTTTTATTATTATTATTCCTTTGACGTTGCGCGCGCCTTGAGACTTGGTTTTGGTAGACAGTGCGGCGACGGCGGCGACTTGTTCCTGCCGGACTTGGCGTGGACTTGCTTGAAGGCTGGTGAAGGGTTTGGAGAGGGGAAAGGGGGAGGGGGGGGGGGGACACACCAAAGCCACCTAGAGCGGAAGGCCGGGGCTCTCCGCGCGTGACGTCACGCTAGTCGGCCTAGGCGAAGCCGAAGCGCGCCGCGGAGCAGCGCTCAAGGGTAGCAATTACTCCAGTTTTTCGGCACAAACGCGTGTTTATTGACTCGCGCGTTAGAAATCTCGAACAAAACGGTTGTCGCTGTGCATGCTAGAATATCCACATCATTTTTTTGTTAACGTGGCCAGTTTTCGTTTCTTAGATTTGTTGTTCGTTTCGACAACTTTGTCGTTGAGCTTGCGGCAAAAGTTTTTTAGTAGAATGTTTGTAGAGCACCACAACAGATGTTTCAGCACGACCTCACTCGTGTGTCCTTCTTCACACACATCGAAGTCGCAATCCTCGTCGACTAGCAAGTCCAGTGTGAGCTCCGTGACCAGCTGGCGTTGGTTGCTCATCGTTAAGAAGTCCACCCGCTTCGACATTTCCTCCACGACAACGTAGTTGTGGGCGACGGCATTGACTGCGGTCATTGCTGGGTACAGAAGGCCTCCTCTGTCAATCTCTTTGATGAGATGATAGTGCTCATGGCCGGTGGCGGCTGTGATCGTGTGGTCTGTTGTCAGGGCATTTTTGCAGTTCTCGCACTTTAGCTTCTTCACCGTCGCGTACACCGCATATCCTGCCACATAGGCTAGAACGGGGACGATGTCTTTTATTTTTGAAAGGGAGTCTTCTGTTACTACTATGTTGTAGCTAGGGCGCGGCGCGTCTCGTCGTTTTTGCATTTCCTCCCATTTTTCATCTCTCTCTGTTTCAGAAGCTTTGCCAATCGGTGCAAGTGTGTTCTGCAGCCGAAGCTTGTTTTCTCCTTCATAAAGCTGTCGTATTGAGATATGGTATTGGGAACCTGCCAGCCGCCGGTACCTTCCGAAGCGGTCCTCTAAACAGTCCGTCTGAAATTTCCCGAGGAGGACGTAGGACAGGTTGAGTTCTTCGAAGCAGTACCTGCATATTTCGAGAAGCGCGTAAGTTGACTGGTGCAGTGCGGTATGAGTTTTGTCGGTCAATTTGCAGTTGTTTGCATTTTTCTGCCATTCGTCCAACCAGTCTAAAATGTCGTAGAGAAAATCTACCTTCTCGTCGTCTGGAGCCGGGCGCACAGGTTCTTGGAACCGATCTTTCAGCCTGCTTCCTTTGCCGGGTGTCTTTACATTGACAATTTTCCACCACGTTACTATAATCTCAATGAAAGTGGCCGTCTCCTTGAAAAACTTCAGGTTGTGTTTCTCTCCAATGGCACGGAGGGCACTGGGAAGAGAGCTGTCAAATATCTGGAGAGCAAGTTTCACGTTCTGCTTCTCAATACTCGACGGGCAAAGGGATTTCCTTGACACTTTGTATCCATAGCGCAGCAGTTGGTCACATTCCAAGTCGTAGGCAGCTTTGATGGTTTTGAACGACGCACACAGCATGCGCCGCTGGCCTTCTGTGTCAGCATGAAGCTCGGGGAACCAGAAGCATTGATCGTCTTGCTTCAGCCAATTATTGCGTATACACTTGGTTATGTGTACAGTGTCGATCACAAAAAACAGCGGCCTGTTGGGATCAGACGGATGTGGGTAGCAGAACTCGTTTGAACGACGCATCGTTGTGTCAGGCGTGTCCTGGTTGCGCGTTGTTGTACCAGGCGTGTCGTGGCTGTCCATCGAGCTCTTAAAGAGAGCCATAGCCTTTCGATTCACTGCGTTGTTATCCGTTACGACGCACATCACTCGGTACCCGATTTTCTCGAGCCCGCAAATCACGTCTCTAAGCAACTTGTGCAGAAACTCGGCGTTGGCTCCGTGCACGGGTACGACGTGAGCGACTTCCTTAAATCGGCACTTGATGCTTTGCACCATAAACACGAACGCACTATTCGCTACTTCTGTGGAATTAAGTGCGACACCGACAATGCTACCTCCTTTATAATCAAAAAACGGTTTGATGTGGACCTCGTCCACCATCAAGGTCACATAGCGTTGGTCATCGTTCAAGTCAGAGATCCTCTTTGCCATGTAGCTGAGAAAACTTGAACTTTGCTGCTCGTTTTGAGGGCTCATTCCAAACGAGGAGCATATCGATCGGATTGTCCTAGGGTGTGGCAGAACAATGCTTCCAGAGCTACGGATGTACTGGTATGCATGAGGCGATATTGTGAAAAGAATGCATGCAAACACCATAAAATCCACTGAATAACGCCTTCGCTCTTTCTTGGAAGAAATCAGCTTCAGTTGCTCGGCGAGCAGTTGGATGACCGCTGCTTGATCTTCGCTTTGCGTTGCGGGCAGCTTGTCAAGCAGAAAACGAATCGTGGCACAGATATCGTTGTGCGAGCTTTCAGAGCTTGACTCAAGATCGTTGTCCCAATTTTCGACACTTTCGAGTAGTTCTACAACTCCCCTCTTGCTGTTTGCGATTCTTGGTATGAGCAAGTTGGAGCCCAACCTTGTGACCTGAGTCTTCGCAAAATGTAGAGTTAGTGTAAGGTCAGGCTTCACGACGATCGAGTATTTTATCCAAGGGGCCTCAGTCTCAACAATGTGCACCAGAGTGAGGTGTCCATTGCCCTCAATAACATGCCAGAATGCCGATTTTACGTTTTTCAAGTGGTCGGACAAGTCCTTTATGCTGAGTATTCGGTCCGCTTCTTCCTCATTGCGAAATGAATCGATCGACTCTGCAAGCGCTCTTTCCATTGCAGAAGCCTCTTGACGCAATCGCTTGCTGTCCGGGTCTTCTCTTCTCGCATGGTGCTTCGACAAATAATCTGGACAGCCAGGGAACTTCGATGGAACTGCGCCTGGGCGAAGGCGCACCCTAGACAGCGGCGCAGTCACCGTCCTCCCGGTAACTTCGTCGACGTGAGACACCTCCCGAAGAACGTCGTCGTCGGAGAAGTGACGCTCGCACACCTATAAAGATATATACCCTTCGTATAAATAATAGCGACTTACCACTAAACGCGCTACACGTCGCCGTTATCGCCTATTCCCACAACCCTTCTATTGCTAGCCCGTCCAAATGGCGCTATGCCACTACGAATGCGAGATAAACAATTGGAAATGGGAATTCCTCACCTTCGTTCTCTGGGAAACGATCAGGTTTTCTCGGGGGATGGCGTTTATCCAGGCACTCCGCAGCGCTTCATCTTTGGGGAGTCCGAACACGTGCACTTTGGGCCCCGTTTTGTAATTACCGTTACACCGAGGCACACAGCATTTGTCAGGCATGACGGAAAGAGCACTTGATCATCGCGCACAAAACGCAGAGCACTCACAAGTTGTGCGACGTTTAAAACAAGACAAAGAAAACAGCCGAGACAAAACCAAGCGTCTCCGAACACGCCGAAAGAAGCCGCGGAACGTTCTGGAAAGACGCCGAAGCAAGCCGGCTCCATCTGCCGAGCCGGAACGGAACTACACCGCGGCCGAACCGTAGGCCGAGTAGCGGTGACGTAGACCCACGTGATCGCGGGAGCCCCCAGGCTTTCCTCCTCTAGGTGGCTTTGGACACACACACGTCACGTGGTTGTTGTGTTTGTGGGTTTGCGAATAGATCGATTTCTACTTCCACCTCCCCCGCTTCTTTATTCCCGCATGAACTGTGTCGTTCGTCACCGGATACGCGTGCGTGTTGTAGGGAGGGGGGGACGGGTGTCGGGCGAGGAGCGTGTATTTAGGCTTTCTTTCGCAATGATCATTGAGCAAATGTCGGCGGTGGCGGCGTGGTAGTGGTCTAGTGTCCGCCAACATAACGGCGCGCCCGCGCGCGCGCGTGCACGTGCTGTCATAACGCTAATGTTTTGTGTCTTTATATACTCCTGGGTAAAATTAGTTATTGTAAAGAAAAAAAAAAATATTGATGGTGATGATTGAAGCGTTTTCACTTGTCACAGATACGGAATATGACGAATGTAAAACGCCGTATAATTATTCCTTTAAACAATTCCGTCACAGCGCGAAAGATAAAATGGCAACACATCAATATGATTGGATTCGAATAGCTGTCGAAGGAAATTGTTAACAGAGCGTCACTTTCTGATAGTAATGATCCGCTGCAATTAATTACTTTTTGCGTACTAGTAGTTCTGACTGGAATTAACTACCCTCGAAGCAAGGTAGTTGTAACTTGTGGCCGAGCGGGCTTGCGCACATTAGAGTCGCGGCTGAATGTTCCCAGAGTACCGAAACTCCCAGGCTCGAGGCGCCAAAATGGAGGCTCAATCTTTTTTGTTTTGCTGTGGTCACCACGAGCGTTTAGAAAGCATGTTTTTGCGTAAAAACCAACAAGAAATTACTCTTTAGTTGGACATTTTAGTGGAAATCATTACAAGATAAGAAAAGCGTGCTGTTTTTTTTTTTTTTTTTTTTTTATAAAATTTTAGTTTACAAGGTTTTCAGTCATCGTCTGACAAGGACAATCTCGAATGTGTTGTCTGCACGTTGCAGAACTGTCGTCAGCGCATGCTCAGGGAGCGCACAACACCAACGAATGCAGCTACGAACGTACAGCCACTAATTAAATAATAATAATTATAATTATAATAATCTTCATGTGCAAAAGCAATGTTAGCGCGGGTGGCTTGCAAGACCAAAACAGCTAAGGTATACGATACATCGCTTCAGCCGTCTTGGTACTCAAATTCCCTGTCGCCAGTTATCAAAAGCCTCGTCCGAAGTCGCGGATAACGTTTTTTTCCGTTCTTCAGAAATGTTAAAACAGTCCACGACAGAGCAAAAACGATATCGCCCGAGCTTTCTCTGACACCGTGTCTCCAAAGCTCCGGAAGTGACATTTCGATTGCGCCCGCGTTCTGTATGCACCAAGGACCAAAATGGCGGCGCCTACAAGATAACCGGCGTGTCGATACTCTGGAGGTAGCTTATATAGCGGGGCTCTAATGACCGCCGGTGCACTTTAGCTGTAACGTCAATGACCCGTCATGGAATGATTGACCCTTCCTGACTAATAAAACGACGCGCGGGGGATTCTATGAATAGAGACTGACCGCAGTTACGGTGCGTTCGATCAACACGCGCATACACAAACGAAAAGAAAGAGATTGCGGGAAAGGGGGGGGGGGGGGGGGGGCTAAACAAGCTTATGCTTCGGGGATAGCGACGCGCAAAGGGGGGCACACCAACCAAAGGGCAGCAGAAAGAACGCGCTAGGAACCGAGCGATGATGAGGCAGCCAATCTTGCCCCTTCATTGGTTGAGATCGGGTTGCAGTGACGTCAGAAAGACGCCATTTTGATTTTCTTTAACTGGAAGGATAGTGGGTAGACCTCAATGCTAGATGCCTTGGGGTCTACCCACTACATTTTTCAATCAGCCAATAAGAGTATGGCGTTCTCTGGCATCATCGCAACCCCTGTGTAAGAAGCAGACGACTTGCACGCCGTATAGGGAGTATTCACTGGACGCCATACTCAAGTGCAGATGTTCATCGGGCATGCTCAGAACGAGCACACACTTACAGCTGCCCAAGATATCGGCAACGTTGATGGTGACGGGAATGTACGTTGCAAAAGCTCTGCACAAAAATTCTGAAGTCAGCACACGCTGAGAAGCAAAATACTCAGCCATGACCGCCAGTGAATACCCCTAAAAACAACAACACGGCCGCGCCATGAGCAAATCGGCGAACCGAATGAGAGGCCTACCAAGCTTCTCTCGGTAAACATGAAATCGCTTTTAAGTACTACAAGTTGACACCAACAAAGATGACGCTTGTAAACTTTACAGCCTTTTTTCCCAAGACGTGTTAGCCTTCTAGATCGCTCTTACTCGTTATTCGACATTAAACCAAACTAAACCTAAAAAAAAAAAAAAAGAGTTTGAGAGAGTAATTTTATAGACGTCTGCAAGTAGGGCCTCTGGGCACCACCATCTTGCCGCTGGCGCGCGTGTAGATCATCTGATAGTCGAGCCTTGCCAAGCCGTGGTCCAGGGTTATCAGGTCGGTGTCCTGACATGGTGCTCCCCATCAATGGGGACCAAACTAGTTCTTCAAGCGTGACTGCTTGCAGACGCCAATACGAAGCTAACTTTGTTCTCGACTTTGAACGTAAATTAAGAGGCCCACACAAGACGACAGTTCGTTTTCCAGTTTATCACTGATAACAGAAAGGATGCCCTTTTTGAACGCATCCATTTCAAGCGGCCAAGAGACATTGTTGATGACAAGGCCACCGGAAAGAGTGGCAGCCACGGGGTTCGGCTGTTAGTTTGACGTCATAGTGTGCGTGACCAATGACATCACGCCTTGGGGAGGAGAGAGGGAGTAAACAGAGCGCTCACGCCCTCCCCTCCCCCCCCCCCCCCCCCCCCTTTGCGTAGGAACGTGGGTATTAGTGCTATCGTACTTTCATTGCATTTGATGGACGTTTTAAGTCAGGCGATTTTTTACGTCGTTATGCCAGAATGTAATTAAAATTATTTCATGCTAAACTGGAAATCTGCCATACCAAACGGTTGAGCGGTCATGTGAGCGAGGCCACGTCGCAGCCGACCACCATGCATGTTCCATGGCGACGCACCTCCACCTACGTTGCTTACACGTGATGTCACCATATCATGCCAGAGGTCATCCCTAGTCGTTCTTTCTGAGGAAAACAAAATCGGTGGGTTGAAGTGTTTGCTGCAAAAAGTACGGGCTCACCAGCAAGGACACCACAATGGCAGCTGATGTGACGTCAATGCAAGCCATATATTTACAAATCTCCATCAATGCGCGTTCTTTCTTCACTTCTCTTATCTTTATTACTCATCGCGATCGTCAAATAGATGTCACGTATACTCCTTGGAGGGTCCAGCACAGCCGCGCCAAGGACTTCGTCCATTTCACTATTCGTCTGTTCGTTTGTTTGTTTGCTTATCTAGACACAAGGCCTCGGGAACGTGAGCCACTGGCTACGTCATGCGACTGTCTACTGCTCATGCGATTGCGTCCACAAACAAGAAGACGAAGATGTCGCCTTTTTGGTGGCTTGTAAGGCTCCGTGCTTGACTTC